CTATGAGTCGCTATTAGGTTGGAGGCCATCGCTATTGGGTCCATTGCAATGAGGTTGGAGGCCATCGCTATTAGGTTGGAGGCCATCGCTATCAGGTTCGAGGCCATCGCCATTTGGTTGGAGGCCATCGCTATTAGGTTGCCAGAGCCGGCCACTTTGGTTCAGGCGCAACGAAGGATACTTTCCAGTGAGCTCCACCGGCGATGGCGGCCCAGCAACCTTTGCGACCTTGGCGGGCCCAGTGGCAGTGACAGTGGACCATGGACGCCAGGCCAGCCAAGCCAATCAATGTAGATTGGCAACAGTTTTGAAAGGCAAAGTGAGAGATGTGAGAGTAGAGCAAATTGCGTTCAACTCTTTGGATTGTGGACATTTAACTTTCTCCTTCCACGCAGACAGTTCCAACAAACCCTGATTGAGCGAAGGTTGTTTACATCGCTGAAAGTGACAGCGGCCAGATCCGGCAGGTGAACTTGTCGTCAGGCTCGAGCAAAAGTGTTCTAGTTCTCATAGAATTCTGCTCCTTAGTCCCTCTTCGAAGAATCCTAGGCCTCATATCTACTCTACTTGCGTCTGTACCACCAGCCGGCGAGACACGCTCATTGTATAGCAGTCCTGGCAGCAGTTTTATCAAAACGGGTTTTGTCGCCAAACACCTGTGTTCTTCCAGCTTGATTTTTAGCATATGCAAGCAGAGGGCAAAGCACTATACTGATTTCAACACAGTGAAATTTACAGCTGCGATGATTCAGTGGTATTCAGTGTGTCCCCAAGGTTTGTCACTGGATCCTTTGCGTCAACTGCTGTATGCTTCATCACCTTCCGCCATGGCATCCTTGGCGGAGTTGCAAGAGTCGACTGGATTTGATGTGTTTCAAGAGCTGATGTGTGAAAGCCCAAACGTCGAATGCATTCTTGATATGAGTGGAAAGGGTAGTCACCTGCATGTCCTGAGGCGAACGTAGTAGAAATGGAGTGATGCATGAAGCGGTTGACTATACAGCTTGTCATTTGTGCGATGAAAAGTACATGCCAGGTGGTCTATGGTTATCGTCTTGAAAGTTCCGCGTGCGTGGCGCCAGTGTCCATCAGCAATGCTGCCAGCCCTGCGTGTGCAGAGGGCACAGACACTCGGAATGAAGACCACATGGTCGACAGTCAAACGAACCAGCTTCTTGCTACTAGTAAGGCCAGGAGCGCCCCTAGTAGCGTCCTTGCTCCTTGTCGCAAAGCCCTTTGCTCCTAGTAGCTTCTTTGTTCCGAAGCCAATCGACCTGAAGAGCACCAAAAGAAGACAGAACATGTCACCACCCCGATGCTACTTGCTACTAGTAGAAATGCCAGGAGCTAGTAGTAGCTTCTTGTTACTAGTAGCGATGCCCTTGTTCAGGAAGTCTATGTCGACCATTGCACTACACAGTGTGCGAATGGTTACGAGCCGAATGTGCCATACTTGCACCTTGGATCCATTGAGTCCTGGAGGTTGCGGTTGTAGCATGAATGCGTTGTTGGCCGAGCGACATGATCAAGACACCCGATTGAAAGAAAGCAGAGCTTGGCCAGTTTCACGGTGAGCACAGTATGATCGGTAAGTTTAGCTTCACTTGCAAGAGTGGTGAATTTACCTCGATCAAAGTTTGGAATTTGAATCAAGTTTGATCGTTGCAAATGTCTTAGGCATTGCTCCTCGGGCGTCCTGACACCCAGCAGCTTCACCTGTTTTGAGGCACCCTGCCTTGCCCCTTGGGGCATCGAAACTTGGCCAAAATTGCGGGGGTGGCCGTGAGTAGGAAGCTGACCGAGTAGCTGGAGCTTAGGTTGGAGGCCATCGCTTACAAGTAAGCGTTTTGCATGTCAAGGTAACAACAGCTGAAGTACAGAATTTTTGCTTACAGCATTTTCCAAACTAACATCACTACAATTCTTTGCATATTGCAATATCGTTTAGAAGAATCATTTTCAAAACCCCTCGGTGATCGCTTTTGGGGAAGTCAGAGTGCACCTTCAGCTGAAACCTCACCAAGGCTCATTCATCCTTGCCATCCTGCAGCGAAGGTATGGTTATTGCATCTGGTTCCAGGCCGGCTTTTTTGCCTTCACATGATGTGTCGGCATGTTTGCAGTTCAGGTGCACTGCCCAGTGCAACACGGGCGAACCTGATGGCAACCTTACTTGCGACCGAGGTGCTGGAAGTAAAGAACTGTTAGTGAGAACGATGATCTCTTGTTCCTAGTAGCTTCTTGTTCCTAGTAGCGATGCCAGGAGCCCCTAGTAGCTTCTTGTTTCTAGTAGCTTCTTGTTACTAGTAGTAAGGCCAGGAGCCCCTAGTAGCGTCCTTGCTCCTAGTAGTAAGGCCAGGAGCCCCTAGTAGCGTCCTTGCTCCTAGTAGTAAGGCCAGGAGCCCCTAGTAGCTTCTTGTTTCTAGTAGTAAGGCCAGGAGCCCCTAGTAGC